TTCTCCTCATGCAGTATACGAGGCCGGGAAGAAGGGGAAGAGCGGGCCGCCCGCTCAGATGCAAATGTATCCGTACTTCATTCCTGGAGTTCCCACTGTGATGCCTCTTGCCCCTACATCACACCCGGAGGCAAATCTCACCTCTGTTGTCTCTGTCCCCTCGATGGCCTCTATCCCTACATTGGAAAATAACCTTGCTGGTGGTGAGTGTCATTAAAATCAACAATCAACTACCACGTTCATTTCATCTCTTAATACAGTTTCATATGCAATAGAGTGCAAAAGTCTTGGGTCACCGTTGTCGTTGATATTTTAACAGTGGTATGAGTTACCAACACAGCAATGCTGCAAAGATCTTTAAACATTATCGGATAATACAAAAAACTAAATGACTATCCTATGTCTGTATAGCTATTGTAAAAAAGTTCATAAAAATTACAAGGCTAAAAGTAAGGGCCTAAGAATTTTGCACAGTACTGCAGAAGCATGTTTTTGTTGCGGTCTACGTATAATAAATGTTTGCATGAATTTAATATGCATAAGTTTATACAGTCAGTAACAACTTATTTAGGAACAACCGCACAATCTTTGGCAACATGTGGGGAAGTGAATGTGCAGGTGTGCCCAATGTGTGTGTGTGTACAGTCCTTGCATGTTTATGTGTATGCAGTACCCTCCGTAATTATTGACACCCCTGGTGAAAATGGGTGAAAAGCCTTAAACTTAATTCCATTTTTATTGCAGAAGTGTACTCTCATACTGATAATTGTAGACAGAATTAAGCTCCTCCCATGGCCATCTGGGTCCATTGACCACCTGTTGAAAACCTGTGGAGGGGATAAAGAGAGTGCAGAGAAGAGGACACATGTCCCTCTCTCTGTTTTCTCCCATCTTGTGAAATATTATAGGAGAAGATTAGGCGCTGTTGGTAAAACAGGTGTGCCAATAATCCCCACGGAATAAGTGCGCTTTAATTTAAGGTTGGGTTTTCCTCACTTTTTCAAAATTTGGTTTTATATTATTTAGAAGACTATTTAATTCATCAGTAAATAAAGAAAACATTTCAACCAGGGTTGCCAACAATTATGGAGGGCACCGTATGTATGTGTGTGTTCGTATCCACAGTCCGCAGTGATTACCGCCTGAAAGCCAGGCAGGACCACAGGGGCTCAATGCAAGTTCTGTACCACATAAAAAATGAGTTGGCTCAGGTTCCCACTGCCAAGATGGCTACACTCCAACGTAAGGCAGTGTAGACTAGACTAGTGTCTTTAATCTGTAGTATAGTGGCATTGTGGCTGTGTGTGTTGTTTCCCATTTGTCCTGCATGATTTGTGTGAATTGGATTGTGCTTGTTTCCATTCCAATCATCCCCTTCATGTCATAACATGAAATTGTATCCAAGTATTATTGTCATCATTTAATGTTGCGATGTGTGTGTCCAAACAGCCGCTAGCCTGTCAGAACTCAGCTCTCTCCATGAGGGAGGAAATGCTGATTTTAGACACACCTACCACACCGTCCAGGTGAAGGCGCTGCCGCCCATTGCCGACGCTGACGATCAAGTGTCTGTGAGAACGGCTCCGCGCGCACAGAGCAGAAGACACAGGAGGGAACGAGACAACTACTCTGACGATGAACTGGAGAGGTGCTTTTAAAAATTAAGAAACGAGGATTGAGCAAAGTAGCCATTCAATTCATTGATTGTTAAGAATTTGGCCAATTTTATAGAATTGTTTTGGATTGGCGGCATGCTCAATCCAAATCATGTCCATCACAAGTTTTGACATCAACATTAAGGATACCTCACTGAAATCAGATTGGTACCACAGTTGTAGAAAAATCTCTCAGTATGTCCTCAGAAATGAATGCCCACCTAAAAAGGCGCCGGCTTTCTCGCGCTGACGAACAGCTCATGTGAGCCCTCATTTAACAAATACATCAAATGACCCTCTATAGCTGAGAAGACATCTAATACAGTGAAGGATCTGCTTGGTACACGGAACGTATAAAACTCTTGCAATTCAGATAACACAACTGCAGGCATGCTACAAAGCATTATTGCCGAGCATTCCACCCTGTGTTGTTTTTTCTGTAGTACTGTAGCAAGTAGCAAGGTTGCATTAATTGGTGTTGGAATTACTGGATATCAATTCCGACAGTCTGCAAGGCTGTGAAAGGTGAATGTGATCAAATAACAAAGAAACAATGTCTGGCGAAGTAAGCAGTTGCACCAATAGCAAGTCATCAACTGAAAAAGTATCGATGAAATCATTGATGACTCGGCATTGACTAACATCACTTTAGCCTTGACTACAAAAAACAAATGAAGTTGAAATCCTTGTCATGTGTGATATATTGATATCTTGTTTCAAGTTACACGCTGAATAAAAGCTACAAAAAAAGCCCAAAATAAAAACTATAAACAAATTCAGAATGACATTGTGTATGATGTTTGGTTCCCCACCTTTGTTTGTTTGTTTTTTTTTTCAAACAAAAAGCAAAAGACTTTGAGTCAATCTTTTGATGCATGTCCCACCCGTTCCCACAGGTGGAACGCTTGCTCGGAGCACATCCAGAGAAAGCCTTTGAGCAGGAGGGGCCGCACTGGCTCACTTGACGAGCTGGAGGATTTTGCACGGTCATACAATTCCCGCAGTCGTCGGGCCGAGCCCCCGGATAACGGGGATTACAGCCCTCCGAGACGTCGCAATAGAGATGACGACGACGGCTGGGATCCCGGCAGCCGCTTGCCTTTACCCCGGAAGAGAAGGGGCACATGGGATGGCGAACTTGCCTCCCAACCGGCCTGTTATGAGGACTATGATGGCGCTTTCCTGACCCACGTGATGGAGAGTAAAGCGAGGGGAGACAGAGGCGCTGCAAGGCCAGCTGACGACAGCGACACTCTGTCCAAAGGCAAAGGTGGCAACAGCTCCTACAGTCGCTCACCTAGCCACCGTCCAGACGAGGAGGACCCTTTGCCTCCGTACTCTGAGTGCGAGGCGGAGCACTGGTACCGTACCAGAGGATCTGTGAGAACAGAGCGCTTGGACAGCTCAGAGTCTACCATGAGGGCTTCCTCGCACACACGGCCCAAGCAGGGGATGTTCCCCCCACCACAGGAGATAGACAGGAGACGCAACTTGGTGAGTTATTTGTAGCAGGAGAAATTGACATCCAGTCCTCAATGTTCTCCCTCTACATCAAAGTCCCTTGTTCACACCACCACTATGTTGCGGGTTTCTTTTTTTAATGCGTTTTTTTTTCTGGATTTAGTGGTACCACAGAAGTGAGCTTTGAGATTTCAATCACGGGTCTGGCCCATGTGAGTGCAGTTTGCTTTCTTTCTCGATCAAAGGAGAGTTTAAAACAAATGTTTAAAAAACTGCAGAACTAGTATATAGATATCGGCAAGAACCGAGGTTCACACAACGTTCTTGCACAGTCACATGTTAGTCTTTTGGAACGCCATCCCCACATGATTCATTGACTGCTTGAGGGGGGGGGTGTACGGTACTTTTCTGAGGGATAGTTGACATGCCTCACTCAGAGGTGTATACACACACAAACACGCACACACACTGTTGGACCAGAATGAAGAGTTTTATTTTGGCAGCCTTTGTGTATTGAAAATTGCATTCTGTTACATTGCGATGTGGACTTGAATTTGAATAACTTTTCCTTCCCAGTTGGAATGAACTAGAACTGAGAGAAAAGTAGTCAACTCCATCAGTATTTCTTCATTCATTCTACATGCCCTAGTATTTTTGTCCTTATAGTTTACATTTTTGCTCTTCCTCTCAACAAATAACAGTCAAAGGGCAGAAAATAATTTGGCCTTTTATTTGCATGGCCTCGGGGCATGTGCTGTGATGCATTATGAGCCTGTTCCAATCCTTCATTTCAGCATCTCTCATCATTCACAAACAGCACTAATAGAATGTAGCTTTATTTTTGGGTCCCTTACAGAGATTTAGATGTTGCAATTGGTTGCTTCACCTCTTTACATCTATTATTTTCCAATGACTTGCTCTTAACCCTGTTTCAAGCTTTGGCAACTTTTCTCCCCTGTCTCCACCAGGAATGCATGGTCTCTAACACGTGGCTCTCTCACTGTATTTCCTCGACAGAGCACAACACTGAGCAGGAACACTCTCAAACTGTGACCATTACTTCGCACCCGTCCTGTTGGTCTAACGCCATCCTTTCTGCCAGACAGAATGCGCCAGATTAATGACTTGCTAGACTGGAAGGACCTTACCAGGGCCTCACCTTTGGATGCTACAGTTTTATTTTTGTAACAGTGCAGCTCAGGTTGGTTTTGAATTTGTGCCTGTTCTAATTAATGTATAGATCTGGATATCTTCCTGTTTGTAAACAATAAAACTTGCACTTGTTCTGAAGAAGATAGTTGCACTCTTCAAATAAAAGACAACTACTTTACGAAATGTCATTTTTTTATTTTGCTGCTTCGTTCGTGTTTAGACTACAGAGGAAAATGTTGGTGGTTATAGTGTCATAACATAAACTTTTCAGTTTTATTTTGTTATTCCAAAATAAACGAAAATGTGGTCGATTTTCAGATAGAGTTGAACATTTTTTATTTGGTTGCATGTTTTCGCCCCCCCCCCCCACAAAAAAATGATTTTTTGTTCATTTTTAAGTAAACGTAATTGAACATTTTTTATTTGGTTGCATGTTTTCGCCCCTCCCCCCACAAAAAAATGAATTTTTGTTTATTTTTAAGTAAACATACGATTTATTTTAAATTAAACCTCGTTTTGTCTAAATTCTTTCAGTACCTGCAGAATCCACTTTCTTTTTGCTCACACTAAAATGTTCACCACTATTAAGTCAACATATACTTTTTATGTATTCCTACCCAGTATATTATTCCGTATATGAATTTAAATATCAATTTTAATTCCCGGTGATTTGATTTCCTTGTACTTGTCTGAGTGGGGCGGAGTCCGTGACGTAATTATGGGTGGGGGATGGGAGCAAAAACTGCCGCCTCCTGTGCACCTGTGGGAACATACCATTGTTTGTTGTCTGTACTTACAACGTTTACTATACTCGAATAACATGTTTTCCTGAGGGGGGGAAAACATCGCTCGACTATGTGGAACGATTTTCATCGGCCACATAGCGGGGTCCTGGTGGATTTTGGAACATCAACGGGATAGACGGCGACGCTGTAGTGGAAGAATAGAGGGAACTCTACGCGGTGATGGGAAATATGATACGTGTGACTCTGTTGCTGCTGCTGGTGTACCTTCCAACAGGTGAGCCTTTAATGCCTTTGAGCGACTTTTTTTTCCTTTCTCACTTTGTTGAGCCATATTTTTTTCTCACTGCCTTGAATCAAGGGCGAAGTCATGAAAGCAAACAAGGGTGAAGTTAATCATCAACAGTTGTAACGAGGGCAAGGCCGCCTGCGTCACGTGACCATATCGCCCGAGAGCGAGATGGTTTGGTTGTGTGCTGCGCGATTCTTCAAATGTAAAATATGTATCTTGGCATTTTAAAGGTTAGGGAATACTGAGCTGGAAATATGGCTCTTGGTGTTTCCCAAATTACAATAAGAGAAAATATTCCCACACCGCTACTTTTCAGCGAATTGACACCTTTTCTAACCGACATTGTCGGAACTGGTTCTCCCATATTTTTTTTAAACGACTGTTTACATTGTTCAGTGACTGTCAGAAGTCATCATAGTCATGTCTTCAGCTGTTATTTTACAGAATGCAGTCTGCTTTCACACACACTATACAGTGCATTTGATCAGGATTCATCTTACAGAAGCAGAAATGTAATGTAACCTGTATCAGTTGGTCAAAAATCATTAGTGACGCTTTTCTCCACTAAGCTGCGCTACTTAAGTGTACTCTGCTCTTGATGACTGACAGCTGTTATTACTTATAATGAAAGGCTGTAAAATGTTTTAACCTGTTCTGTCACATTTGTAGCGATTCAGCAATGAGGACCTCAGTCTCGAGTAAACATTGCAGACCAAAAGCCTTGAGAATTGTTTATTTTGCTGTGTTGTCTTTTTGTCCATTAGAGGTGCTGTGCATCCAGGTGATCGTTCCAGAGACGGAAAGAAGCACCATGTTGTTTGCATCTGTGATCCTTCGCTGCGACTTCTCCACCTCTGCAAACCCACAGGATGTGCTGGTTACCTGGAGATTCAAATCCTTCTGTAAAGACCCAATTTTGGAGTACTACTCCACAAGTGAGTCCTGCGACTGCGGCGTTCTCCATGCGCAAGAAGCACTAAATCAAATGGAATTTCAAAGTTCAACACAATCTGATGATTAGTCTCCCAGTTGGTTTGCCTTCAGAATGAATTTGTCAAATAATTTCCACCATGAGAAAATGTTTTATTTTAAACATTTTTACTGTCATACAAGCGTATAAATTAATCACGTTTTGGTGAAGCCCAGTAATCTACATGCATCATGCTTTTTTGCAACCACAGTTCTAAGGTTTGGGATTTGATTCCCTGCTCTCCGTGATTGATTGTTTTTCTTCCTCCAGTGACGTACAGTGAAATTCATGGCTGGTGAGGCACTAATAGGAGTCAAATGTACAAATTTATGAGCCAAACAGAATTTTAAAAAATTGTATGAATAAATAAATAATCATTTTTGGGGAGGAAAAAAATGTTTTGAAAACAAACTAATTGTATCCGGAAACAGGTGGTTTTGCCTTTCATAAACTATGAGCAAATTACAAGGGCACTCGAAAGAAACCGGGTTGTATATATTGTGAAATTGCTCACCTGAAATGTATTGGATTACTCGACTGCCAAAGTAATTGTATGCTCGGCTTCATATCACTCCATTTGCTGTGCACATAATTCTAACCACTCTATGTCCGTGAAGGCTACCAGGCCTCCCTGCAACTGGGTCAGGACCCATCCAACGACTGCCCAGACCGCCAGCGCACAGTCCGCACTGTGGTCCAAAAGAGAGGCCTCAATGAGCCCATACTGGGTGTCGATTACCGGAATCGCAAAATTACCATTCAAAACAGTAAGTTTGCGGATGAAACAAAGTATACTGGTATTGATTTTATGCACACTTTAAATAACATAATTGTGTGCCCCATAGAGGCTGATCTGGCTATCACTGAGGTGATGTGGTGGGATAACGGCGTGTACTTCTGCACCATCGATGCCGCCGGTGACACATCGGGTGACTCGGATCGAGAAATTAAACTCATCGTGTATCGTAAGCACCCTCACTTTGTCCCACAAAAGGTTCCAGACGACGGTTACATTTACAATCAGGGCCATGAATATTGGTACATTGACACAATTCTTGTCTTTTTGGCTCTGGACATCACAATGGATTTCAAATAGAAGGAACAAGATGTGGTTTAACTGCAGACCTTCATCTAAGTCTGGTAAACGGTGTAAGAATTACTGGGCAACAGATTGTGTATGTCACTCCCATTTTTTTTTTTGACCCATCACGTCTGAAGCATTGTGGTGGCAGTGCCATGGTAATGAAAGTGTTGTTTAAATAAAGTTTGATAGATTGCTTCCCATTGTGACGACTGACAAAAGCTGCAGGATGAATTCTGAAGTGTTTCAGGCAATATTATCTGCCCATATTTAGTCAAATGCTTCAGAAATCATTGGACAGTGCTTCACAGTGCAGATGGACAATGACCCGAAGCATAGTGCGAAAGTGGAGTTTTTTTTTTTTTTTAAAGACAAAGAAGTAGACTGTTATGCAATGGCCAAGTCAATCACTTGACCCAAATCCAATTGAGTATGCCTTTTACTTGCTTATGACAATTCTGAATAGAAATTGCACCGAGCAACAACACGCCTGTGTCTATGCGCTCCAGACTTCCGGCCGTAATTGACTGCAAATACTTGCAACCAAGTATTAAGAGTGAAAGGGTGATTTATAGTTGTTAATTTTTTCCCAGTACTTTTGGTCCCTTAAAAAGTTCACTTGATTTGGAAGTAAATATCCTCAAAGCTGAAAGTCTGCAGATAAAGGCCATCATGTGACTTGCCTTTCAAATCCACTGTGGTGGTGTTTCGAACCAAAAACATTACAATTGTCTCCATGTCCCAATTTTCATGGACTTGGCTATATTTTAAAACTGAATTATTTCGTGATGTGTGCCAGACTGGCTGACGGTGCTGTTAATCATCCTGGGCGCCCTGCTGCTCATCATGCTCTTGTGCATATGTTGCTGTCAGTGCTGCCCGCAGAAGTGCTGCTGCTACGTACGTTGCCCTTGCTGTCCCAAGACCTGCTGCTGCCCGGAAAAAGGTACACAGGAATATAGGCTTCAAGTGCATGTTTTTAGAACCAAAACGCATTGATGACCTACAAAAAGCACTCAGTGACAGTCAGTATTTAAAAAGCATCTGTTTTTTTTCATTGCTTTTGCTGGACTCTGGCTTGGGTCTGTGTTAAAGTACAACCTTTCCCCATTGGCTGGTTGTAAGATAATTAGTTATTTGGCAAGAATGCATTGTAATTCAAATTATGTCATTGAGTTTCATCTGGCTTTGTTCGTAGCTGTGATGCAACACAGGATGTTGCGTGAGGCCAAGAGAGCTATGGCGCCTTGGATGCACGGTCAACCCATATACGCTCCTATCAGCTCCAACAACTCCGTCCAGGGTGTCCCCATGTTGTATTCAGGTGACTCTGAAAACATCCTTTATTTGTCCTGAATGTATCCTACGAATTTTTTGAAAGATAAAGTGGCATATGATTATTACTTTTGAGCCACAGATACAGAATTGAAAAGCAGATAAGAATGGGCGGTGCGCCACGGTGGGCGGCTGGTTAGCACGTCCGCCTCACAGTGCAGAGGTGCAGGGTTCGATGCCAGCTCTGGCATTCCTGTGTGGAGTTTGCATGTTTTCCCCACGCCTCTGTGGGTTTTCGCCGGGTATTCCGGTTTCCTCCCACATTCCCAACACATGCATGGCAGGTTAATGGAGCACTCTAAATGGTCCCTAGGTGTGAGTGAGAGCGTAAGTGGATGTTCGTCTATGTGTGCCCTGTAATTGGCTGGCAACTAGTTCAGGGTTGTCCCCCGGCCTACAACCCAAAGACAGCTGGGATAGGCTTCAGCATGCTTCAGCATGCCCGTGACCCTCATGAGTATAAGCGGATTAGGAAATGGATGGATGGATAGTTACCGATTGACATTGGCACCAGTAAAATAAATATACTCACCGACATATACTGTATATTGGTAGATTACCCCCAATGATTTATTGTTGAGCATCCTCAAATGGCACTATATTATATAAATCTAAGTCATTATTATGATTATTATTATTATTATTTCTATTGAACTGAGGGGGCCACAGCACTCATTCTACCTAGCACCATATGAGGTCGCGAATGTAAGGTGATTGAAAAGCAACTATTTAATAATAATAATAAGAATTATAGCTGTAATATGTTTAATTACAATTACATTTCAAAATGCCCAAGGATACTTAAAGCAAAACGTTAAATACAATAGTTACCAAATTCTCAACACTTTTATGCCTCATAGTTTGTTGTAGTGCCTGTGTGCTAAAATTTTGTTCTGGTTTTTTTAATGAATCATGGATCTGTTTGTTGTCTGTGTAATTTTTTTTTTTTAAGTAGGACAAAGACATTTCTCAGATTACAATTGATTGTCTTAGGTTGAGGTTCAGAATTCGCTGTTTAGTTATTTAATTGAGGACAAAGACTTCAATTTATCTTCCATTTCTTACAGGCTCTTACTCAGACCCAGGTAAACAAAACTTTCCCATGGCGCCCATGCAGCTGTCCCCCATGATGCTTCCTCAGCAGGCCGCCCCCCCGCTCCACCTGAATGGCAGTGCTGCAGGCAGCCTCCAAAGCAACCGACATGTGTTGGATTACCTGGAGAACCAGGTGAGGGGGTTGGATGTGCCGATGCATCCTGTTCAGAATGTGCCCCCGCTAGTGGTTCAGCCTCAGCCGCCACCCCCTGTTGTGCCCTACACCCCCGGCCCCCCCAGCATGCTGTCGGCCCTCGATGAGATGGGTGTAAGGGGCACGGAGAGAAGGGTGATCACGCTACCTCCCATCATCCAGCGTGTTCCCAGCTTTTCCTCCCGCAGGGGACCCCGAAGTGGGGAGCCAGACAGAGGGGGGATACGTTTTTCTAGCCAGTCCAGCGGTAGTACCAACCCCTCGCGAAGGGGTGTACAACAACGTAGATACAGAGACCATTCTCCTCCAAGACGGGGAATCCTGCGTGAGTACAGCGACGACTCCGATTGGGAAGGGAGGCAAGGAAGAGGGAACCACCGCATCCAGAGGGACCAGAGCAGTGTCGGGTCCAGGCCTCTGACCCGCAGCCGCGACAACCTGATGGAGGAGCTGCAGAGCAGAAGCACACGAAGGGAGAGGAGCTACTCACCTCCACGCCACAAGCGCTCCTGGAGCTCGGATGAAGAGGACAGCAGCAGGCGAAGGGCGGCTAGAGAGAGGCATTGGCCCGAGAAGCCCCCCAGCTACTCCAGTGTGGAGAGCCAACATGGACACGCCAGCGACCGCAGGAACCACATCCGTCTTTCCGTAAGAAACACGAACACACATTCTCTCTGTTTACTCTTTACTTCACTCTTTGGGTGTGGACTTGTCTTTAACTATTGTAACTTATGGTTAGGGTTAATGATACCACTGGTTCCTTTTTTTACTTTTTTACTTTTGACACTTGATCTAACCACGCCTATTTCCCTTCTCTCCATAGGATAGGAGCTCCCGTAGCAACACCAGCGTAGTCATCTGAAGCATTTCTTTGATAGCAAAAACTGCAAAAGTAAGCTGCATCCTTCTCTGTATGTCACTTGAGAATAGACTTGTTTTTAGTTTTTGTTATTTGTAGTAGTAAGTAGTCAATATTTGTATGCCAAAGTTAATCATTTGAGTGTTTGTCTTTTTTTTAACTCATCAAAATATTGGAAGTTTTTCGTCTTTTTTTTCTACTTCGACACATAAATAGACTGACAACCATGACAACTGTACTACGGTATCTGGGAGAGGAAACTCGACCTCGCAGGAAACCACTCTACTCATCAGTTTTACTGTAATGTTGTTTGATGTGTGTGTTATGTTGTTGTTCTGAATAAAACACAATTTAAATCCAGACACTGGGCTGGTTTTGAGCTCTACTTACAAATAAATGACTGGAATTAGGTCAAAATGTCCACCAGAGGACGCAATTTTCCACGTTTTTTAAAAATGTATTTTATTTATTTATGTATTTATTTTTAGGACGGTTGACTTTCTGGCATTAAAGAAACACTAAATGTTAAAAATAACACAAAAAGTAATTTATGAAATACTAAGTCATGCCGTACTAACCCATAATTAGATACCATCTCTTAATTATGACTTGATCAACCACCTATAACTAAGCATTCGAAAAATGAGAGCTTGATTAAGGTACAGTATTGTGTGCTTGATTAAATATAGGAAGTAATGTGGGTGTCAATTTGCGATGACGTTTTGCCTAGGCGGGTAAACGCTCGCCATATAGTGATCTGATTGGTCCTCTCAGGGTTCAGGAAATACAGTCGTACCAAAGATGTTTAACTATGAACGTTCTTCGAGTTACAAACCTATATCTTGGGTCATTTTAATAACTATTGCCTTGAACTTGACGAATTGGTAATTTAGTTAACAGTGAGTTACCTCAGCTAAATTTAACTACTATTAATGTAAACACGTCAATTGCAACTATTTGGTGAGCGGCTGTATCTCACTGCCGTAAACGCGGTCAAGTTGCCCCACGCAGCACATTAAATTAGTTTTACCTCTCAAGGGGTTGTAGCTAACGTTGTTAGTCTATATATACATGTTTACTTTTAAGAGGTAGCCGGTTTAGTTTGCAGGAAAGGGTACAGTCTCCCAATTCATTTTGGAGTTGACCACTACAACATGACTGTCTTTTGCGTAGAACATCTCTAGAGTCAATGTCAAACGATCCGGGATCAGCTGCCTCCACAAGATCCACCTCTAAAATCCACTCAGACTGTTAAGACTGTCTACATTGCGATCAACGGAAGACGCTAATGAAGATAACAGTCACAGACCCGGCGGCGTAACACATTTAGTCACCAGGTAAGGCTGAGGTTGAGGAGGAGTGCTAGGTTAGCCGCTTGCTAGCAGCATCGAACGCGGAAACCCTTTTGTTGTACAGAGACCACTATATTAGCGGTGATTAAACCGCTTCATGTCCCCTGGAGGTGTTTATTTAATTTTTGAGGGTTTTTTTTTTTTTGGCGGAGGGGTGTGATTTTGAAATTAAAGGACATCAAGCATCACGAGGCAGTTTGTTTACAGCCATCTGAAGTTGCGTTGTTGCGGTTTCTTGTTTCCAGTTTGCGGGTGACTTGAGCGTTCATGTGTTGGTTTGCGCGCAGGCAGGCAGGATGAATTCCCTCACTGGAAGGGCGGCGTTGCATCTGTGTAGACGCACGGCCGTTGTGGCGGCCGGCGGATTTCCCTTTCAGGCGGTGAGGGTCTGCCACGGCGGGGAGAGCAGCAAAGGCAGCGTAAGCACCAAGAAGCGCGGCTATGACATCACTCGGAACCCCCACCTCAACAAGGTGAGCTGATGGAATTTGGATGTAAATCGGAACGCGCCGTAGAGTCTGTCAGGAACAGACGCAAAAGTCAGAATTACATTTTTTCTTTTCTATTAATAGCGCATGTCGTGTTTTTTAACCCTTGTTCGAAACTGTCTTGACTTTATGATTAAGCGCCAGTATTTTTTTTTTATGTGCCTGCATTGTGCAGCAGTGTTCATGTTCAATCTATGCATAATGTTTAGTGGTTGTCGAAACTGTCTTGACTTTATGATTAAGCGCCAGTAGTTTTTTTATGTTCCTGCATTGTGCAGCAGTGTTCATGTTCAATCTATCCATAATGTTTAGTGGTTTACAGTAACATTAAATATTCTGGTTTTGAATAAGATTTCTTTCTCACCACTCTATATTAATATTGATCATGATGGTTGTACTTGGAAAACTTGAGTATTTTTTGAGGTGGTCCTCGTACAGATCAAAAACCACTTCCATAGAGATTATTAACAGATATATTAAGTGCTACAATGTGGCTGGTAAATGTTTTACAAAGTTTTATATCCATTTATAGTGGGATGTTTTATGAACCTACACAGTTAATTTAACACAGCAAGGTCGCTGCAAGGATCTGTGCATTGTTGTGACATTCACACACCACACAAATGACCCAAGGCCTGCAAACCAGGCCTTGGGTCATTTATAATCAAATACTTCAAGTACAAAATTGTGTCTTTCATTGACCCTATGTCTTCACAAAGCATAATAAATCTGTTTCAAACCAGAAAGCACTTTTTCTCTTAAAGTCAAACACTCTCTCTGCTAAGATGGACTGATTTTGGCCAAACTGATCCAAACCAAACATCCACAATGAGTCATCAGCAGATTTTTTTTTTTTCGCAGGGGGTGGGGGCTTGTTCCCAAACATAAATGAAACAGGAAATGCCACTCCCTTAACATTTTGATGTGTTCAGCAAGAGTCTGACTAACTTTGCTCTCTTTTATTGGGTCTACTTCACGCAAGGGAGGTCACAGTTCCTTCCCAAGTCAGTGTTTCCGTGATGACTCACTGTGAAAAGCGTGCATCAGGAAATAGGTCTGCAAGTATCTGAATAGTGAGAGTTTTTATGATTATGTGCATACGTTTGTCACATAAATGCTGGTTTCACAAAACAAATGCATTTAAAATGGAAAAAAAAGTGTTTGTGTGTGTGTGTGTGTGTGTGTGTGTGTATGTGTGTGTTAATGGAGGTTTCTTCAGTGGCTCTTTGTAATCGGTTGAATGTTATTGTGTTGTATCAGTCATTAATTAACTGTTTAAATATTTTTTTAGGAAATTTTCTTTCACAATGCAAAAAAATATTCAATGCAGATGAAGACTAAATTAACCAAACAGAAATAATTACTTATTTTGTTTGACTTTGCTAAACACGGGTTTTCGACTTTGGTAAATATGTTGTAATGCAGCACAGCAAGGCACACTCAGTTTCTCCTTCTTTTGGTATGAAATAGTTGGCACTGTGGCTTGTTTTGAGTCAAAATAATCAGCCTCTCATCTTCTGTTGGTGACCACTGGGAAATTGAAGCTGGCTTGCCAAGCAACTTTCATAATGAATCAGAAGGAGTTCCTTTGGAGAAGTAAATATTGTAGCGCAAGCATTCAGAAGGCACAGAGCAGCGCAGTCAAGTGGAGGTGATGCAAGGGGAGTGAATTCAGCCTGTCACACCATTGGGCACAATAAATAGCATCAATACCACACTCAGCTGCGAGCCAGTTGACATGTCAGCTCAAGCCACACAACAGACTTGGCCAGTCGACAAAATATATCCGTAATTGATACTTTTAGCGTTGTAGCTACCAAGTACTTTAGAATTGATTATTTTATCACATGTTTACTTTGCGTCAAAATTTATTCATCGATTTATTATTTTTTGTAAAAAAATCATCCAAAAATGAATTTTCCTTATCCCGGAACCACACCAGGTCTAGGGAACACGAGGTCACCCCAGTTATCCAACCACAGTACTTTCATTAACATCTGATGTTACCTTTCGAAATAAAATGACTCTAAAATATGGCATTTTTTCTTTTACACCTGATTAAAAAAAAAACATTTAAAAAAATCTGTTTATGGTATCCCGCATTCAGACCAGGTCTTGGGCACACTAGGCCACCCAAGGTATTCAACCAAAGTGTGATCATGGAGATGTGATGTTGCATTTCAAAATAAAAGGCCTCTGAAATCAGCAATTTTGACCTTTACAACCGAGTAAAAAAAAATAAAATCTTTAAAAATTCAATTTTTGTTATCCCTTAACCATGCGAGTTCAAGGGCGCACTCTCTCATTTGGGTGTGACTTACAGTCCATTTCCATCCCGCAGGGTATGGCTTTCACCTTGGAGGAGCGCTTGCAGCTGGGCATCCACGGCCTGCTGCCCCCCTGCTTCTTGTCCCAAGATGTCCAAGTACTACGTGTCATGAAAAGCTATGAAACGCGTGTCAATCCTCTGGACAAGTGAGAGGACAATTTTGAACCTTAAACAACACCATATGTAATTGCTCTGCTTGCATTGTGTAGTCTGACTGTGAACCACAAAGCAGAATGGAAGCCGCTTCTCCTTCTTTTAGCCGCTCTCTCTCTGCATCAGGTACATCTTGCTGATGACGCTACAGGACAGGAACGAGAAGCTCTTCTACCGCGTGCTTACGTCGGACATCGAGGAGTTCATGCCCATCGTCTATACGCCCACCGTGGGCTTGGCATGCCAGCAGTACGGCCTAGCCTTCAGGAGGCCACGGTAAGATTAGTACACACACCCCATTTGCAGGATTGCATGACGGTATCAAGAATTATTAGATAAAGTGATACGTGGTTGGAGGAAACGTCTGCTGCGTGAGTGCATTATGTGTTATAATCTCATAGGCCAAAAAAAAAGCCGAAATGTAATCATGTAAGGAGTCCTGAAGAATTGAACATTTCAGGTGAATTACAGAGATGACATTTAGAACAATTGCGATAAATTGTCCATGGTGAACTTGAATAATTTATACAACCAAAGTTATAAAATAACATTATATAGCATCTAAAAATAACGTTGTCTAATTGACTGTAACTGTCAAATGGATTTTAAAATGTAAGTATTGACCAACTGTTATAAAATAACATTATATAGCATCTAAAAATAACATTGTATCTTTAAAATATCAATCATATTGTTTTGCAGTCAGTCTAATTGACTCTAACTGTCAAACGGATTTTAATATGTAAGTATTGACCAACATGTGCAGTTATCGTGGTATTCATTTCATTAATTATTTGATTACAATTAAAAATAAAAGCTTGAATTAAAATAAGTATAGCAATAAGTTATTCAAAAGCCAAGCTAAAAAGATGTGCCGTAAGCCTCCTCGTAAAAACATCACCAGGCTCTGCGGACCTGATGTCTTCTGTGAGGCTATTCCAGAGCTGGGGACCAAAATGGCTGAATGCAGCCTCACCATGTGTTCTGGTCCTCACCAATGGAATAATTAAAAGGTCTGAATGTTGTATTTGTTTGTCATGCAGTTGAGATTGATCTGGAGGATGATGCCAGTGATGGCGACGGTAAGTCAGCCACAGTATTCTCTGGATTTATCATGTACACGACACTGAAATCCGTTGATTTCCTCCTCCGTCCATCTCGCCGACTCCTCGATGTAGACGGTGACAACCGCAGGCAAGGCAACAGGAGGCAAGCCACTGGAAGAACCACCGCAAAGGCGAGACCCCGTGGCAAAAAAACAGCCGTTGAAGAAGAAGATGAAGAGGAGGCTGAGGCTCCTCGGACAAGAAGAGGTGCAAACGCAAAGAAGCCGACCAAGAAACGCGGAGGTGACGATGATGAGGACGATGAAAGTGAAGATGAGGGCCCCAAGAAGAAGAAGCGGGGGGGAGCTGCCAGTAAGAAAAAAGGAGGAAAAACATTGGACAGTGAGGAGGAGGACAGTGAGGAGCAGAAGGGGAAGAAGGGGAAAAAGGGAGGAGGAAAGAAAGGTGCAAAGGAGGAGGAGGACAGTGGAGCCAAGAAAGGAGATGCCAAAGGAAAAGACAAAAAGAAGAAGAAGAAAGAAGAAAGGTAGGCCGAATAGCCATTTTTTCCCCTTGTTTCTTCAATTCACCTAACATACGTGTTTGTTGACACGCGGGAGGAAACCAGAGTTCATATAAATGCTTGTCTCTCAGTATTTCCACCAGTCACCACCTGCACCCTCTGTGTGCCCATCCATCCCCAGTTCATCCGACTCCAGTTCAAGCTCCGATGAGGATGAGGAATCCTTGTCTGAGGGAGAGATGGCCCTGCTGATGGAGGAGGTGGAAGAGAAGAAGAAGCTGATATCCACCATCAGGAACAAACCCTGGAGGATGAAGAGGCGACTCACACACCTGAAGTAAGGTCCAACTGGAGGGCATGACAATACTTGAGTAAAGACTTCTATCCTTTTTTTTTTTTTTTTTTTTTTGCATTTTCTTTTTATGTTTTTTTCAAGTAAAAAAACAACAACAATAAAACAACAACAAAAAACTTTTTCTCACCAGGCTGCTCTGGGCATCGCTCACCTGCTAATGATGGCCATGGCCAAGGAGGGCTTGTCTCGAAAGGAAGCCGCCAAAAGGATCTGGATGGTGGACTCCAAAGGTCTCATCGTGAAGGTAATGCACGCACGTGTGTCTGTCTGGACAACAAGTTTTGCGATCAAGGTAAAAACAAATGCTTCTCGTTCAGGGTCGAAGTCATCTGAACCATGAGAAGGAGGAGTTTGCGCACGAGCACCCCCACCTGAAGACCTTGGAGGAAGCCGTGCACACCATCAAGCCCACTGCCATTATTGGTATTTTTTTTAAAATGTAATTATAGGTGAAGTCATCGCTAAATATAATACCTCAAGGAACAGTTAAAGAAGAAATCAACCACAAATGGCAAGCTGTAAATTCCCGGTGTGAATGGAATGGCGGTAACCATTACGACAAAGTAGCCCCCCCCCCTCGGTGATGTAAAGCGTTGTGATGTTTTGTTTTTGTGGCTGTTAAGGAGTCGCCGCCATCGGAGGGGCATTCACGGAGAAGATAATTAAGGACATGGCGTCCTACAACGAGCGGCCCATCATCTTCGCCCTGAGCAACCCCACCAGCAAGGCCGAGTGCACGGCAGAACAATGTTACAACATCACGGAGGTAGGACCCCCGCAGAGTTGAGCGATGCAGCTTTTCCATTACACAGGGAGACACGGAGACGAAACGTTATGGTTCACGGGCTTGCACGTTTGTTCTTGCAATCAGGGTCGCGGGATCTTCGCTAGCGGGAGTCCATTCAGCAAGGTGACGCTGGCCGACGGACGCTCGTTCTACCCCGGACAGGGAAACAACGCCTACGTGTTCCCCGGGGTGGCCCTGGGCATCATCGCCTGCCGAGTTCGCCACATCTCTGATGACATCTTCCTCACCACTGCAGAGGTCCTTTTTTTGAATTATTACCTCCATCACAGATTATTTATTCGTGACTCTCTGTCTGACTATAATCAGCTGTGATATTTTTGTCAGGCCATCGCTGACATGGTGACCGAGGAGCATTTGGCCGAGGGGAGACTCTACCCTCCTCTTAAATCCATCAGAGAGGTGTCCTTCAAGATTGCTGTCAAGGTTCGATATGAAATCATGTCAAAACGGCATGAGAGGAACTATCTATTAATGTGTATATATCGTTTCCAGATTGTCAACTACGCGTACAAGCACAACGTGGCCTCGGTGTACCCGGAGCCAAAGGACAAAGAGGCGTTTGTCCTCTCTCACATCTACAGCCCAGACTACGACTCCTTCACACTGGACACGTACGCTTGGCCGCAGGAAGCTATGAACGTGCAGGACGTGTGACCATCACTGCCCCTTGAATAGTGCATACTACTTATGCTTTTTATTACTATTCACTTTCTTTCCTTATAATTTACGTCAGGATTTCTTTGCACACCGTATAGTAACACAGCACTCCGACTCCTGACTGAAGTTGCCCCAATGGTAACAGAACCTTTTACATCACTCCTTTTACCCGATCGCTGATTTCATAAAACATGTCTTTGTTCCTCTTCTTTGCCCTTGAGCGGCGGCGACACGCTGGGCTAACAGCACTCCCTGTCAAACGTGTGTCGTTGATGTCAAGATGTAGACTGAGAGTGTCGATGTGACATTTTAAAGCGTGTTGATGGTGTTTTGTCCTTGAAGTTTTTAAAAGCGAAAATTAAACTTTAAATTGAACTTTTCAAAGTCACACCTGGTACGTTTTGTAGATTAATCACAACATCAATTTATTAATTTTGTAGGGATCCGCTGTGACGGAAATGTCGAGAAAGTCTGGTCAAATAATGCAGATGCACCGAATGCTCATTTGTAGCCATGAAATCCCAATTCGTGCTGGTGTTTATCGACAATGAATTTGTATGTGTTCAATGATCAGAAAGTGGATGGAAAAAGTTGGTGTTAGGATATAATTTCAAACATGAATTTTAGAATACACTCAGAACGTTTTAGAAGGTAAAATCATCGGTCCATAAATATTGAATTCAAGGTTATGTAGTAACGGGGTCTCAAACCTTGAATTGTTTTCACAATGCATTCTCCTCATTAAAATACAACTTTTGTCAGACTAATCAGAGAACAGTCATACTTTTAAAAAGACAAAAATATCCATAACATTCTCTTAACTCTATGTGCAGCGACTTATTTTGAACTGCAATGGGGTGGCAACCAGTTGCTGCCGGAAGACAGGTGGGATCGGCTCCCGCAAGCCCCAGACCCTCATAAGGATAAGCGGTATGGATAATGGGATGAATGGATGGACTCCTTCAATTCGAACGTAAGTAAGGCCCTCTACTCGTTCGATTTCCCAACCTGGTTTTGATTGACAAAAATCAGACGGTCTTCCTGGTCCCGTTGAGGCAAACTTGGGACAAAATCATGTCTACCATGTTTTTGACAATTGCCCTCGGAGGGTGAATGTTGTGAGGTTCATGATGTGCCACGCACATCTGCCAAGCGTCCACCAGCAAAACGTCGAGACCCTTGAACATGGCGCGCAGTACGACGTCCAGTTGCAAAGAAAACCAGTCGCTGTTGTACAGGCTAGCTTGCCGTTCCAGAGCCTGAGGGTTGGCCGTGCGGACCACCACCACCGTCCCCGGCGCCCTGTCCAGGAGTCGCAACACCGCCTTGCGGATATGCCGAAGGCGACGTATGTACACCTCCACGGGAAAGGTGCTGAAGTGAGACCAGACGCTGAGCGCCACCACCGTGTTGGGACCGCCGGACAGGCCGTCCAGCTCGTTGGCAATGTAGCGCAACTCACTGGTCATGACGGTAGAGAAGCGGATGGGTGGGCCGTGGCAGCGGTACTTGAGCTGAATGTTGTGTGTGCTGTCCACCGCCATAAAGGGCCCCACCTTTTCTGCACTCTTCTGGTTGAATTCCTTCATCCCTGAAGGGCAGATATATGCATAACCAAAATGACACCTAAATGGGGCAATCTTAAAACGAGCCGAAAATTTTATTTGCCAGCTTTTTTTTTTTAAGTCAAAAGGAACTATTTCAGCCATAAAAAAGTACTTTTAGCTTTGACACACCTGAATATATGTATATGTGTCGATTTGTTTATGTATACAATATATAGATACACCAGCCTGTGCCAGTACATTTCATCATTTGTATTTTGTATGTTTTTTTCCCTTTCACTAAAACGAGCAGAATCAGTTAGTTCTGCTTTCACCAGTCTTTTTGGAGTATTGTTCCACCACTTTCCAACACTATGAGACGTAAGCGCTCACCTGGAAGCACAGAGACGAGGTACTCGTACCACTGGCGCACGGTTGAATCACCGTACATGTAGAGCAACTTGTTGGTCAAACACTGAGTGATGGCAGACGCGTCGTCAAACTGGCGCATGGTGACGCCACCCAATGGCCTCCACGAGTCCTGGTAATAGTAACCGGATGTCGCCAACATCACGGGATCCCGTTTTTGACTGCCGCTTTCTATATTAACGACGGACATAATGATGTGAATAAATCTCCATCACCCAAAAAAAGCCATTTGTCTGAAGATCCGCATTACCTTTCCTGGAAGGCAGCACGGTGATGGTGTCCGCTGCGGATGCTTGGATGGGAACTTTGACGTTGACGCCACTGAAAAGTGGATTACAAAGGTCGTAACACGAATAGCAACAAATACAACAGGGGATATTCATACAGGGACAAAAACAGTCCGACCCAGACAATTTATTTTTGTGGGAGGTGAGCTATTTTAACAATCCCAGCCACACCATTCTTTGACACCACATCTAAAATTTCTGAGTCCACAGATAGTTTACTTTGAACTGTTTATTTTTAATTGAAGGTCACTTGTAGTCATTTATTACCGTGTCTGTTTGAAATAACTTTTCAAAAGGTTCAATTGCAGGGATCAAGTTTCCGATACCCCAAATGTGATTTGGGTCAACGTGTTTGAAATGTCAAACGGTCTTTGAGACTACAAACCTCTGAAAGAGCAAATTTTCCTTGTTGGTCGTGATGTTTTTGCGGTAGCCTCCCTTGGCATGGTTGATTCTTGTGGTGCAGCTGAGCTTTCGGGGCTTGTAGCAGTACCATGGTTCACCGGAGTTGAGGTCCGTGTAGTTGCACAGTGGCCGCTTGCCTTGTGGCAGGCACATGTGACACACCTTCGTTTCAGAATGACGGCCTCGGCGAAAGAGGCTGACGAAGAACACTCGATCAGGCCGTTTTTCCCTCAGTCGCCGCAGTACAGCGATGGCCTCGCTCGAATGCACCATCATGACCTCGACTTGAGCCGACCCCTCCCACAGCAGCGGGAATCGAACGGAATAAAGTCCGTTCTTGTGGTCCAGCACCTGGCCGGCAACCCCCGCCCCATATTTTGGGGAATGCAACCGAGCCAGCAGTAAATCGCCGCCATAGCGCTTGGGTCGACCCTTGAAGTCGTGCAGGTGGACGAGCACTTCCAGCTGGTCGCCCACATACCACTGCTGGTCTTTTTTGGAGGGGACGATTGTAAACAGGCTGTGTGCTGGGTCACTCGTCTGGGACACTTTCAGTGATGCAGAGCCAGAGGGCGGTTGGGGCCAGGCGATGGAGTTCAACAGGTTGCATTCCTCCAGCTTTTCGACAAGTGACGGCGGCTGGCCCACATGTGGACAGAAGGTGTGATTGTGATGAAACGTTGGGAGGCATCTCGTGAGATTTGATGACTGGATCCGCTTCTGGACATCATACAGTGCTGATACTATGTGGTACGTCCAGTTCTGAGGAGGTGATATGTATACATGGTCGATACATTAAACATAAAGGCACATGAAAAAATTAGGTCCGCTCCAATGTGTGTTTTTCAGCTGCGTTTGATGCGAGATCGCCTCAAGTGGGGTCTCACATAGGGCACCAGTCAAGCTATGACATAACTGACAGTGCTATTCTAAAAATGCCCAGCGCAGTAGTTCTCAAGCGTTGTCAATCTGGGAGTTGTCAATTTCTATTGTGACAAAGATGTGACTTATTTTGTAGAGGTTAGGATCAGCATTTCCTGACTCAGTATGTTCTACATGGAAAGTCGATGCGCCTCAAGACTGTTCTCGAAAAAAAAAATGCTGTCACTAAGGACAGTACTACAAGACAATTTTTTACGAGCTGTCCACAACCCACGCAAAATGAGTCTGCGACTTGGCTCCCGGGCTACCGGTTGACTGTAGTTGCATTCTAGTTTAATTTAATCGCTCTGAAAATAGATTCAATATCACTCTTGTTTTCGTTTCAGAATGATACACGTGGAAACTTATTAATACAGCATGCAGAGAGAGAGAAAGAGAGAGAGAGAAAGAAAGAAAGAAAGAAATTAAACAAACTCTCTCACCTCCCAAATGGTGACGCTGCGCAGCAGGACGACGAAGCCAAACAGGGTCAGAAAGGTGAGGATGTACTTCCAAACATTTAGGTACATGTTATCTGAGTCTTTGGTCCTGTTGTTAACCCGCCGCCGCCGGAATAAATCATCACAACGTCTTTACCTGGCCTGTCAATGGCTCTTCCGTTTAGAATGACATTGGCTCCAAACAGGAAGTCATGTCGAACTACACAAAGCGCCACAAAATCGGGAAAATGTTGCCAATGATTAAAAAATAAAAAAAACAAAAAAAAAAAACCTACTATCAACTCCTGAAATGGAAAAGCGAATAGAGATTCAAATGTAAACCGATTTATTGAGTTTTTTTCTTGTTTACATTTTTTTACAGTAGCTCATTTGCTGGCAGTCCTTGAATGCACCTCGGGCGGGAGGGCAAAATCGGATGTTGTCAATGTTGGGTTGCTTCTTGACTGACATTCCGGCAGTTTCTTCAGGCTCGTGCAATTAGTTTGCCTTTCATTTTGTCCGCAGGCCCTCACGTTTGGTGTTGTGAGTAAATGCCACACGATGAAAGTAATTAAACTTTCATCGTTTGTATTCATTATGTGTGACATAATTTTGCAAACTACCAAACAAAATTGTCTCGTAAAGTATAAATGTTGAAGTATGATCTCGAATCATTGTGCTCCCAAATTGACTTACTCAGTGTGAAATTTCCTTCATTTTATTAGAGCTGGTACGCCCACAGGAAGCAGAACTTTTTGGATAAATAAGAAACAAGCCTGTTGCCCCTTCAGATAGCGAATGAAAGAACCACCAACAAAAAGTGGAATCCGCGATCTCAAAATAGCCTCCTCTATTCAAATATTTTTTATAGTATTTATGGCACTTTTTTAAAAGGTCTCCAATTCAATCAATACAAACACATTTATGGACACAATATATTGAGAGACCGCAAGAGCATTGACAGCAAAAATATTACACTTCCAAAAAAAACAAATTTGCAATATAGCGGGACCGTGAAAACTGAACCGCAATATATGTAGGCTTACTGAACTGTGATTTATATGCTGTACCTAACTATACTCTCACAATTTGCTACTTTTTTTGGAAATAAAAGTTTTTTTCTGAAGGACTCCTTCAAATGCAACACTCATTATTACTCTCTACCTGGTTTGATTTACAAAAGTCACGCAGCCTTCCTGGTCCTTTCACGACAAACATAAGACAACAACATGTTTACCATGTTTTTAACAATGACCTTCGGAGGGTGCACGTCGTGAGGTTGGTGGTGCGCCACACACATTTGCCAGGCGTCCAAGAGCATAACATTGAGACCCTTGAACATGGCCCGCAGCATGATGTCCAGTTGCAGTGCAAACCAGTCGCTGTGGTTCAGACTGACGTCTCGATCCAGGGCCCGTGGGTTGCCCGTGCGAACCACCACCACCGTCCCCGGCGCCCGTTCCAAGAGTCGCACCACTGCCTTGCGGATATGCCGGAGGCGGCGTATGTATACCTCGCCGGGGAAGGGGCTGAAGTGGGCCCAGATGCTGAGCGCCACCACCGTGTTGGGACCGCCAGTCAGGCCGTCAAGCTCGTTGGCGATGTAGCGCAATTCGTTGGCCATGATGGTGGTGTACATGATGGGTGGGCCGTGGCAGCGGTAATTAAGCACAATGTTGTGGGTGCTGTCCACCGCCATCAAGGGCCCCGCTTTTTTGGGAGTATGCAGGTTGAATTCCTTCATCTCTGCAAGGCAGAACACAATAAAACGACATAAAAAGAAACAAGTCGTCAAGAGCGTACGAGTGTTCAATATCAATCACAAAAACATTTGGACATGGTCGCAAGCGGTGAAAAAGGAGCAACAACTGTGTCATTCATCGAGAGTCCCTAAATAATTGTCTTATGAAGTGAATATACATATGACTTCTAATATCCAACATGATCGAAAAACATGATATACAGTGAAACCCACCCCCCCACCCGCATACTCGCAGTTTGGCACCCGCAGATTAGCCTATTTGTGTTTTTCAATATCGTTTCACATTTTGTGGGGGGGGGGTGGGTTTGGGTTGTAATTTGAAGGAGTCCACCCCAATTTTTCTGGAAAACGCATGTGAGGTTTAGCCGGTTTTTTTTTTTTGTTGTTGTTGTTTTTGTTAAAAATTTCTTAGGTCAAAAAAAAAAAGATTACCAGGTGTGAATGCCCCTCCCCTTCAGGTGGATGCCCTTGGCCCCTTCCCAGAAGCCCCACTCTTTGCACGAAACCAACATACAATGATGCAAGACGTCCACCACCGGAGCCAAGCCGCCATGATGTTATGGGACGGAAGCGCTCACCTGGAAGCACAGTGACGAGGTACTCGTACCACTGTCGAATGGTGGAGTCGCCATACATGTAGACCACCTTATTGGCCAAACACTGAGAGATAGCAGCCGCCTTGTCAAACTTGCGCATGGCGACATCGCCCAGTGGCCTCCACGAGTCCTGGTAGTAGTACCCAGACGTCGCCAGCTTCACAGGATCTGTTTTTTGGCTGCCGTTTTCTACATTGACGACACACGCAATGATGGGAATAAATTACCATCTCCCAAAAAGTGAGAGTCATTAGTTAGTAGATCCACAGTACCTTTCCTGGATTGGAGCACGGTGATGGTGTTCGTTGTGTTTGCGTGGATGGGAACTTTGATGTTCACGCCACTGACGTCAAAAAGTCACGACAAATATTGCAGCAAGAATAGCAACAAATAAATACTTCCGTGATACTTGACAGGGAACGTTCTGCTCAGACAGTTTGATGGCCGAGGTCTTGGAACGGGACCAGCCACATCCCCCAAACCAAACTCCCATGCTTTGGCACCAGAAAAAACTCCAACTGGAATTTATGGATAATTTAATTTGAACTTTCGAGTTGGCGATTATAGTCCTCTTTTCTTAAACCGTGAATTTGGATTGCTTGAGGAGTTTGGGGATGGATTTGGAGGTTTTGGGGTTCACTGATCATTATCTAATAGTAAATTGAGTAACTTTCTATTTCTTTTATCATTTTTTTTCTCTTACAATACAATGAAACATAACTCCAATTGCGATGTCTCACTTGGCAACTTTGACGTTCACAATGTTCAGATCAAGCGATTGACTCCTTCGTTGCTGGGCTACTTGTCATAAGGAAACAATGTGAAATAAGTCCACTCATGTCATATGTTTTGCACTTTTTCTCTCTCCTGTGTCACGCACAGAGCAATGTTTGCTGTTGGGTGCCTGTTTTACTCGCTGAAATAAATGAGTCGTGCTAGCCGCTTTACTTTCAAAGGCCTTACATTCTTTGCATACTGTTTTTTGTTCACTGTCTGACGTTACAAACCTGTACAAATTTCAAATAACAGATAAAACTCTAACTAGCTCGTTTGTTTTCCGCCACGTCGTCAGTGGCAAACCAGCTTGTCAGCCTCAAAAAATGAACACTAATAGCTGAATGAATAAAATGATAAGAATAATAAAAAGGCAAACGTACTGGCCGGTCGCACCTACACAAGTAGCATTTTAGGTGTAAAACGTGACCAGTTAG